GACATTTATATGAACCGTTAAAATATCAATAATTTACCTAAAACATTCAACTTCAAGCATTTTTTTGTGTTCACTGTGTTCCCAAAATCGGGTGTCATAGGCTAAATGTTTATACTCATTTACTAAATATGCCCAAAATGATCACCATCACAAATAACACGTATTGAGGACGTTTAATCTAGATCACCTTCACACGTTCATCAATGATCAATTTCATAATTTAACAGACCCGCATAGAAACAAAAAAAAAGCATTGTTAATTTCCTCAATGTTACGATGACAAACAATTTTCTTAAGAACCTCTATCAGATCCTAATTGTCCCGAACGTGTCCTAGTTTAGCGTGTTCGTGCAGCGATCCGAGGGATTTATAATTCTTGTCCCGCTCTGTTGCCACAAAAACACTCTCCGCAATTTGGGGCCATGGGTACAGGTCCCCAATGGCACAACGGTATGTTTGCGGACTTACAACACTAGAAACCGTGTTTCTATACCCGTGGTGGGCAGAGCACAGGTAGCCCATTGTGTAGCTTGATGCTTAACTTCAAACAAACAAAAAAACATGGGTACTATACAAGAGTGGGTCAATTTCTACTATCAGGTCAGACAGGAGTAGCCCCAAGAATTGGCGGCGAGTGCTGTGGACTAGCTGCCTTTCCCCTAGTATATCAGTTCATAATTAGGGACGGCTATAAACAGCCCTTGTGTAGCTTTACGCGAAAATTCTAGAACAAACAACCAACCAATGAGATTAATTAGTTTTTCTTCCGCCTAAATGTTTTTTTACCCGAATCGGTCATAAACCGAATGACCGACTTCAACAGCTCGCTTGACCTTTTTTTTTTATTTAAGTTTGATATCTGCTGATAGAATTTATATGAACTCGAATAATAAAATATAAATGAAAAATTCAACACTTTTACTGCTCCTTGAGGTGTTTGTATAACAAATATTTTAGATATTGAATTCGAGTTTGTTTTCTTTTATTTGCCAAAATTTGAACATAAGATTTAGAGTTATATTTATATATACTGTGTGTACACTTCTAACCCAGTGAGAATTCATATAACTGCAACTATATAAAATTCATATATAAACAATACATGTGATGAAATCGGGTAAATGTTTCCATTTTACGCAGAATACCGACCCCTAACATCCACAAAAATCGGCAAACTCAAGTCGTATGCATAAAGTTAATTGTTATAGCTCGTGAAACCACAAATCTAAGAACAAAGTCAAGTTTGTTAGAAGACATGCCCATGAGTCAAGGTCTTCTTTAAATAGCTTTCGTCAGCTCTGTGCTTTAAATTTAATGATTCACTATTTCGGTCCGCCGTGTTGCTCGGTGTCATTGTGTGCGTGAGGAGGACCAGGAAAGCGTTTATACTTCCTTATAGCACAAAAATAATACATCCGTTTAACATAGAACAAGAAGTTATCACGCCAACTTTTCAACACTGTCTACCATTTCGTCTTAGTAAAGAAAAATAAAAAAGACTAACCCTGTTGGCATGAAACACTGGCGCAATATTTAGGAATGTGATGGACATCTTCTACACCCCCCCCCCCTCAAGAAGTATAATTATCGGGAGAGAATGTCATCTCCAATACAGGGGGAGTCAAAAGCACTCACTTCTTCCCCTCACAAATTTCCCAAAGTTTACGATTTCTCCAACATGAAATGAGTTTTTGGTCCAAAATAATGAAGCACTACAAACAGATACAAATTCAAAAATGAATTTGGTGGCTGGAGGCTGAATCTAAAATATAAGATGAAGAGACGAAGGTATAATAAGGAAGGTCCCATGAAAGCTGGTCATTAAACAGTTTATTTCATTTGTGTTTTTCTTCCTGATTTCCATCATATCTTGTCCCCACTGCATCAAAATAGACCCAAACTAACACTAGTTGTAAGGGGGGTGGGGAGCATGCCCACGAATACCCCTAGTATCATTTTGCTTCCAACGCTTATAGATCACATTTGTCTTTGATATATACTTTTGACAATACTTTCATTACGAAGTTTCTTATAGCTTATTCATCTATTCCTCTCCTAAGTTAAGGCACCACTGGAGTAACACCACATCGTTTAGAGAACTTCTACATCTTACAGTTCTACAGACGAAAATACATTTAGTTTAAAATTGTTTATTTTCATAATATATGTTGGTGTATGAAAACAGTGAATAAAATATATGAAATGAGTTGCACAAAAGTACATTCACGTGCTTATGATTTGCACTGTCATTTGCTGTCATCCAATCAACCAAGCAGTGGCACACCAACAACATGCCTATAACAGGACAGGCAGTCAAACTATTCTCAGCAGTAGTGTGGTAAACGTATTCATGCTTTCATACAGGACAGAAATGTCACTTGAGTTCTGGTGGGTGAAAGTGACTCCGCATGACAAATTAAGGCGAAATTTCTTGTTTCAGTTGGCATGCGTGGAAATTCTGAAGAGAGCACGTGAAAGTAATACCGTTATTTATAGAAGTAGTCGATGTAGAAAATTCAAACTTTTAAAACGTGATGGTAAGTAATTCAGGGTAGGCACTCTACGTAGAACATGATAATCCAGTAGAGATCTTGCCAGTGACCTAGCTGTAAGTACAGGTGTGAATGTTACACTTTAATATATATCTTACTCTTCTGGGTGTAACATCTTGTGCCAATATATATATATCTTACTCTTCTGGCACAAAATGTTACACCCAGAAGAGTAAGATATATATTATATTGGCGCAAAATGGCCTTAATGGGTGAGTTACTGCTCAAAAGCCACTATTCAGGGGAAATAACCAGGCCAAAAGGTTTAAACGAAGATCAGATTTCAAACAATGGGATAAGCAGAGCTTGAGAAGGGTGCACTTTACAGATGGGTCCAAATTAAAATTGTTTGGCAAAAATAATGATTGTCTGATGGCATAGACGAGAATGGTATTACGTGCAACATTTATAGCGAATTATGCTTAGAGACCAATACAAGTGGGGAATCCATCTCAGCCAATGGTGTTGAGATCTACACAAAAGTTGAAGGCACATTGATTGTTGTCAGGTGCAAGTAGATTATTATCCCTCAGGAATCTGTTGGGCAGGGATTTATCTTCTATCGAGACAGTGATTCCCAGTAAGCAACAGATGTAAAAAATAAAAGAAACGGTATTTTGGAAAAAAAAAAAAAAAGTGGTTGATGGAATACTTGCAACTGTGGTTCCGCTATGAATATCTTTAATACTGTATGGACTTACATGGAAATGGAGACAGTCCAACAGCAACCAAGTGATATCTTTAATACTGTATGGGCTTACATGGAAATGTAGAAAGTCAAACAGCAACCAAGTTAACTTGGCTGAACATTGGGGAGTAATACATAACATTTCACGATCATACACTGATAAACTTATGTTAGCGTAAAAATATAGTATACAGCTACGTTTAAAGGGAAAAAAATAGTGCATTGTACAATTATTCGTTTTTCTTTTGTATTTTCTATGATCATGTATTGTACTAATGATAAATGGACCACTTAGCTATAATACCCATTGCTTATAATTATTGTATGTGTATCACCTTTGCGTTTCCATAACTATTTCCAATATTGTACCTTTTTTATTTAATCCTGTTTTTTCCACTTAAAGTCAAATAGTTTTGGTTTTATATGTCATAACATAACTATCAGTGTTTACCGATACTACGCTTCCTGGCGGTTCAGCGGAAAATCTCAGGGATTGTGGCTCTAAAAATCGGATTTCGATACCTGCGATGGACAGAGCATAGATAGTTCATTGTGTAACATTGTGCTTAACAACAAACTAACTAACGTTACAACGAAGACAACTCGTGACATGTAAAAATAAGAACACTCTTGTTTATGGCCGAAAATTGAATTATTTTATGATATAAAACCCGTACATTTTAATTCGTTTTTCTTCAACAGTTTGTTATGAAGTAGAAATAAGTTTTGTGGTATATAATATGTTGTTAGAATGTCTTTGTGAAAGTAATAAGACAGTAACCAATGGAAGCAAGCTTGGTCTTATGTAAAGTATTCCATCCCCAAACAGGTGCTGCATCCATAGGAAATATAAAACTTCTAGAACATTTGTCATATTATAAAAAAAAGGTAAAACAAAACAGCACCAACACGGCCATACCATTTCATTCTTGTACTGGTTTCTACGGATATCATGAACAAATTATTAACAATTATTATTGTGTGATTAACAAACCTGAGAATTCGGTGACGATGTCTGCTCGAAGAGCATACTTAGGCATGTCATCTTTTACCAAGCTCTGGAGTTGTACTTCTGGGAGATCCAAATCATCATTACATATATCTGTTCCACAATAAAAAAACAACAACTAAGTAAGTTAATCATAAACCTTTTTCGATGCACATTTTTTTTAAAACATAAAAGTAAGATTTAATAACTATCTTAATAATACACGGTCTTCATTCACTGAATATGGGTTTAGTCAAAGTTACAAAAGTACACAATAATTTATTAAAAGCGCTACCAGGTTCTTTAGACAACTCTACAACAGTCGGCACTACTCGCGCGGCCGCCATCATAAAGAGAAGCCAGAAACAAGTCATTACGCAATTTAACATGGTGTTGTCTTATAGTGTCAGAGTGAAAAACGAAACTGATGTTTTTTGGCACAGTGAAAGATAAACTCTTTATTAGTTGTTTCAGCCGACTAGCTTCGGTAACATAGTTACCTTGGTGTTCAATAAATACAGTCAGTCCTTATGATTGTAACTGATGTTTGATAGTACAGTTAACCCCTAGGATGGTACTGTGTTACTGATACTAGTCGACCATCACAAGGGCTGACTGTGCTTATTGAACGTCGTGATCTTAGTTCTCCAGATATTGTAAATCATATTTATATCACGTTCAATTAATTGCTTTAGTGCTTCAGTAATTATTACTTACTAACTAAAGTACTCATTCAACGCACAGGGAAGATCCAAACATCAAAGTATCTAGGTCACACCCTTGACAAGTTGATGATAACTGATTTAGCGATTCGTCAGTTATAAGCGGACACATATACATAGACTCTTGTCAAATAATGGTTTAGATAAGAATTGACTGTTTTGTTTTGTCTTTATCTAAAAAACATTATTTATAACAACAGTTACTATAGGAACAAAGTTATCAAAAATGTCGCAAGGAGGAGAAATTCTTTTTGAAAAGATAAACTCTCAAAAATCATTTATCAACTAGTTTGTCTCTCATGTACAAAGTGTTCTTCATCACCATCTCTGTCGACAAACAAATAGGCGTTTATATATTTAACTTTAATATTATATCAATAGGTGGCGCAACAGTTCAAGCATGGTGGCTGGCTAAGTGTTAACAGAAAGAATAACTAATTTCCTTCAGCGTATAAATATATATATTTAATACATATATATATATCCTAACATTTGTTAATATCTTTGAATGACAGTGAAAAATTGTATGTCAATAGAGGACACAAGTTATTATTATTATTATTTACAGTATTATTATCTTGATACACTAAAGAAGCTGAAGTTCTGTATTTCATTCCCAACAATATATTACTTACCAGTGATTGTTCCGACATGACGTATGGAACTCTTGACAATATACTCTTTTTCACTGCTCAGCTGTTGGTGTATCAAAACATTATTACAAGTATATGGGCAGTGGTCTGAGCAAGTATCAATGTCCTGTACTTTGGCTTTTCGCCACGCAGTAAGCCCCAAAACATGCTGTGAACAGGTGTCCTGTAAAGAGGAAAAGTCGTAAGAGTAAATAAGCAAACTTTTGACTCTAAACTACTCTTTAAAAATGAACTATAATCAATATCATTGTGATGAAAATGAGCATATTGTTCTTTTATAGACCACTGTACAGGGTGTATACAGAACTTTAAAAATAAATTCCCTGACCATTCACATTGTTACAAACACACACACATATATATAAAGGAAATTATGCTCGGAAATATCCGCATTAACTACTTTGCTGAGCTTACACACTAGACGTAGTAGCTAGCCAATATATTTCTGTTGGTGATTACTGGCCAAAAAAAAAAAAGGACTTGCAAAAAAAAAAAAATACCCTGACTTTAGGCATTTTCTCTGATTATATACACCCTGTCAAAAAAACCCCTTTTGTTCTGAGACTAATTAAAATACCTTCTGTTGTATTGTAGTTCATTGTAGACCCCACCATGCTATGCTGTTCTGAAGCCATGTATAAAATTTTCGGTTGATCTGTAATTCATTTTAACGACTCTTGTTCTGAGATTATCTCTATTACGCTAAAAACTGAGTTTCGATACCCGTGATGGGCACAGCACAGATAGCCCATTGTGTAGCTTTGTATTCAATTATAAACAAACTGAGGTTATTTGTAAAAAATTACGTTGTTTAGTAGTTAATATTTAATAACATGGATTCTCCTAAAGCTAAAGTTCATGTTTTCGTTTCTTAAAGTTTGAACACTGATTTTTCTAAAGCCACTTATAAAATATAATTTTGTTCTGATATGATTTCTAAAACTTTACTTTCATAGAAATTGAAATATATATTTTAAAGTTCGATGAAAATTATAATTATTTCATTTATTCTAGGATTATTTTTCTTCAAACTAAAAAGTAATGTTTTATGAAAAGAATCTATTTGTGAAATGTTTTATTAAACCTATTTACGACGCTTTTTGCTGCTCTTTGTAAAATATTCTGTTGTTATGAAACCATTTTTTTATATTTGATGTTCTTGTGTACAACATCTCAGACTAACCTGCTTTGTTTATTTGTTTGTTATTAGGCACAAAGCTACACAATGGGCTATATGTGCTGCGCCCATCAAGGATATAGAAACCAGGAAATTTTAGCATTCATAGTATCAAAGTTGTAACAACAATAAAGGACAATTTTGGGATTTTTGTTATTACTGTGAAGAGCAGTCTATAATACTGCCAGAAGAGTAAAGAAAATATTAGGTTGTCAAGAAATTAATGACGCTTTTTTTTTTAGATGAAAAAACCTGAACAACTTATATGTCAAAACAAAAGATTTATTAAATGAAATAGTCTCCATTCTTATCGATGATGCTTTTCCATCTTACAACCA